AAGAAAGAAAGAAAGAAAGAAAGAAAGAAAGAAAGAAAGAAAGAAAGGAAGGAAGGAAGGAAGGAAGGAAGGAAGACAGAAAATGAGAGAGAGAAAGGAAAGGAGAGAGAGAAAGGAAAGGAGAGAGAGAGACGAAGAAAGGAAAGAAAGAAGGAAGGAAGGAAGGAAGGAAGGAAACCAAACACCCCTGGAAAGTACACAGTGGAGATTTGGAGTGGGGTGTTTTTTTCTAGTCCCCTAGACTCCCTTACTCAAAGACATAATGTCTTTCTCATTCGGCCTCCTGAAGTTTCCACGTCTCTAGCATCAATTAAGGATCAAGCTTCTGCATACAAGCCTTTGGGAAACATTTAAAATCCAAAGCATAACAGGCTCGTGTTGATGCCCGGCCCACAACAAGCACTTAAGTGTTATTTCTCATTAGTATTATTTTCCGTATGTCCCCTGGGAAACAAACCAAACTGTGTGGAGTTATTTTCTGTATTAATTCTAGAGTAAATGAATTGAATCAATGTCAGGGCAAAGGAAATGCCATCTGGGTAAAATGGGGCCTCTCAATTTGGGTTACTACTGCTGTGATGAAATACTATAACCAAAAGGAACCTTGGTAGGAAAGGTTCTGTTTCACTCACGGTTATATATAACAGTTTGTGCTCAAAGGCGGTGAGGACAGGAACTTAAGCAAAGCAGGAACCTGGAGACAGACACTGATGCAGAGGCCATGGAGGGTGCTGCTTACTGGCTTGCTCCCCACAGCTTGCTCAGCCTGCTTTCTTATAGAACCCAGGACTACCAGCCCAGGGATGGCACCACCCACAATGGGCTAAGGACTCTCCCATCAATCATTATTTAAGAAAATACCCTATTGTCAGGTGGTGGTGATACAAGCTTTTAGTGGTAGAGGCAGGAGAATCTCTGTGAGTTCAAGGCCACCGTGGTCTACAGAGCAAGTTCCAGAACAATCAAGGCTACACAGAGAAACACTATCTCAAAAAAACCGAAGATAGACATAGATATAAAGAGATAGAGAGATAGAGAGATAGAGAAAAAAACAGAAAAGAAAATGCCCTATAGGTTTGTCTACAGGCTGATCTTCTGGGGACATTTTCTCAGCTGAAGCTCCTTCCTCTCCGATGACTCTAACGTGTCAAATTGATGTGACACCAGAATGCCAGGTTAAATATCAGAGACTTAGTAATTACAAAGTTATGAGCTACATATTTTTTACTGTCTATAAGACCTTTTTACAAGTAACAGTAGCACAGGAAATCTGAAAAGCACTATTATGTACACTGTAGTCTTTTAGAAGTATCTGGTTTCTGTTTATGTTTTCTATTTCCTCAGGGAAAAGGAGAGGGAGACATGGAAACTACTTAATACGGAACATCAAAATCCCAATGAGAACAAGCTGGAGAACAGGTTAAAGATAAAACACGATACATTTTCAGTACTAAATTTTCATCCTTTATACTACATACTTCTAATAACAAACCCATTTCTCTGACTGTTTGATGAAGGCATGGTAACCACTGAGAAATAATCACAATTTAGTCAGTTTCCAAAGTATGTCTGGGAAAGGGACCAAAGATGACAGCTTCACAAACAATTGACATATTGATGTGTCTATGGTCAGACAAGGTCCCTACAGCCTCTACTGAACTTTCAAGGGCAGAAATAGCTGTAAAGCAAAACTTCAGAACAAACACCACTGAGTGACAGGTGATACAGCTTATCCTCTTCTGGACTAAACCCATGTGGTCACTGTACAGACATGAGCCTGTTAGTTCTTCCCTCATACCTCAGTTGGAACTCATCTGTAAAGTGAACTAACGTGATAGATTGGCTGTCATCAAGATCAACCCAGTTCTTTGGGTGACTTCACAGTTTATGACTCTCGCTGAAACTTGGCAAGCACGGTGGATATCCTCTCTCCTGCCTGTGAGGCATCTTCCATGACTCCTGGGTATAAGCAGCTGGAGGGAGAGGGGAACAGCTTGTCCTGTCTGAGTAAGCCCCTCACTTCTGCCCCACTTGCCAATTGCAAGTGATTCTACGGCTTGGCCAAGCTTCTCTTCCAGCCAGAGAGTATTGCTGTGAAGAGGTGAGTTGAGCGGTTGAGCATAGAGGAGGGAGGAGTGTGCCCCACTGAGACTACAATCTGCCCTCCAGCCAGTCTCTGGCCCAGATCTGACAAATTATTGAATCCATTAGTCTAAAATAATCTCTCTCTCTCTCTCTCTCTCTCTCTCTCTCTCTCTCTCTCTCTC